TCTGTGCAGTTTGTGTACTGCATATCTCTTGGAAGGGAAACGGGGAAAAGAAAAAGAAAAAGAAGAAAACCAGTGAGGAATGCATAGAGAGGGAGACAGAACAGTAAGCACCGTAAGAGCAAATATTTTGGAGAGGGAAAGGAGATGGTTGGAAAGGGCCATATTCTCAAAGGTGGTTTTCTAGCTATTCAACATGTGTGGAGCTGAAATATGAAGTCAGACATTAAAACGATGCTGATCACAGACTAGGGCTCCAAAGAATGCCACAATGCTTTTACAATAAGTGGGCCAGGTTCTCAGCTGACTGAAGTCAGCAAGGTTGTCATTGGAGCTCCACTGATTTATGCTAGCTGGGAAGCTGGCCAGTCCTTTTAACTTGGAGATTTACTATATATAGTTGATCTGTAGTGGTCATCAATTAAAAAAAAATTACATTTGTGAACAATTACTATTAAGTGGCATATGAGCTACCAGATATGTTTCACATTCTCAGAAAAAAGAAAAATACAGGGTATTTTAGACACTAGTTTCTTTCAAGAAATTACAGGGCTTTACTGGGGATAAGTGTACGTTTGATCTCAAAGAGCAAAAGCTGCTATACTCCTTCTCCAAGCAGGTTCCCCCAGAATGAGATATTTTAAAATAAATTGAATGGTTTCTGACCGTCATGTCATGATTAGAGCAATGTCAAAGGAAAATCACCTATCCCAGTGTTTGGCCATCCACAGGGTTTGGGAAATGTAATCCAGAAAGTCTATGTAGTTGTTAAAGAAATAAAGGAATATACTTTTAACCCACTGTCCAAGGAAATCAAAGGAAACGTTTCCCAACTTGTCCTGTATTATTACCGGTACCAAATCAGTTGCTAAATTCTTGCATAACCCAGAAGAATGACAGAATATACCCAAAGGTAGGTCTTTTGAAAGACAGAACAGCAGCTGGACCTTAATTTACACTTTTGGACTTCTCATGAGCATCACATGCTCATCACAGTGAATTACTCCAGGGCCCACGGAGAGACGAGAGACAGAGGAAGGGAATATCTTCCCTTGTCCAGAAATAAAATGGCTGGTGACCTCTGTGCCGCTAGCTATACAACAACCAGAATATGTGCTATAGGCTATTGAGCCAGATCGGAGCCAGTTCCTTTCGCTAGCAATGGAGTGGCTTTTATTTTCCGCTTGAAACAGTTGTAATCATTCCAATTTTTTTGTTGTTTTCTTTTTTTGCCTTCACTTAACTTAGGAAATAAATTCAGTGAAGTTCCTCTAGTATCTAGCTTTGGAAAAAAAGCTAGATGAAGCTCTTGCCAGTTGAATTTTCCGCAGTTCCCACAGCCTCATCTATGTTGTTATTCATGCTTTTTACCATTTACCAAAAGTGTATTTTGTGATAGTCTATTACCAACACAACCACCATAACTTTAAAAACACTGTTGCATAGAAGCACGTTTTTCTGGACTAGAGAAGCTCTGAAATCAGGAAGTTAGCAGGCCAATATTTAGTTGAAGGTTGACAATTCATTTTGGGCAATATTAAATCATGACAAAGCTCAAACAAAAAGATCAAAGTTCATTTATAGACTATAAAGCAGTTTGTGAAGACAAGATTTATATATTATTTTTCTAGCATATTAGTGCAGATTCTGTAAATTCTGAGAATATTTCAATCCCAAGGAACAGAAGACCCCTGCCCTAGCATATAAATTTGAACACAATTATTCTTGAGACAACACTGTTAAACTGGCAGACATGGAACATGGCTCTTATTCACTGGTTTTTATGCTTGCGTGCATGTGTGTGTATACGCAAACATAAGCCACAGTCCTATTATACAAAGTACTTACTGTATTACCCATCCTCTCTAAAGCTATTCGAAATGCTCTATACCAAAGATATTTTGTATACACATAAGTGAGATGGAAATATGAGAACTGACAATCTTCATTAGAGTTCTCACTGAAGCATAAATAGCCACATACCCCCAGCCCGCTGTAATGAATGGAGCCAATGTGCTCCTCAGGCTCTGGCTTCTCGTAGGCAGAAAACTAGAAAGCAGATGGGACAGCGATGGCAAAAAGAACTTCTTTTGTCACGTAAAGGTTGATATTTTCCGATCACATATAAATAACCTTTACATACTGGTCTGTGACATTCCCTTGTCTGATTATTATCCTCCTGCTTCTTATTCTTCCCGCTTTTTTAACTGCTTCTGCTATTTACTCCATGGATATTTGACACATACTACACAAACAAAGTTTTGTTAAGAGTTAAATGGCAATCACATAATTTCTAGATTTTCTGATAACAGTGTTGGCAGAACAAAGTACCCCAGGAGATCAAAATGCTATTTAATTTTGAAGACTGTATTCCCAAATTTGGTTAATGCGAAGAAATGTGTCAAGTCTTCTGGCCAAGTATGTACACATTAGTGACTAGCAGAGCACAGAACTGTGTTTAAGTGAACTTACCACCTTAAAATGTATTTACTCATGACTATAATTTACGTGTTAAATTTATTGGAGTTTTGGTTCCAATGTGACATACAATGTAAAAAATCAATATAGATTTGAGAGCTTTATAGTGCCCCTGGCAAATATGAATAGCACTTGATGAAAAGTGAAGGTTTTCACAGCACCTACAGTGCCACTGCATTGGAGTAATTAACACTACACGCTTCATAGATATTTATATCAATTCTTCACTAGCACATAGAACAGCTCTTTGTCAAAAATTTGGTACCAAGATGTCCTGCAAGGCTTTAGACACACTTTTATTGCAAGCCCCTATT